TCCCGATGGGAACAACATCACTCTTTCTGATATCATGCGTTATTATCAATGAAGATTCTAAAATTATCGAATCATTTAAGGTAGTATTAAATATATTAAAAGTTCAATAAATTTCGTTTAAAATAAATGTGTGTACTTATGTACGTTTGTTCACTGCATATATGTGCAATGGACTAGGAAAACCCCCCTACGAAGAGTAGTTTACATTTTGAGAAAATGGCGATTTAGTGTTTGTGAAACCTAAATTTTACCCTGAATTTTTTGTTTATTTTTAGACATCAATTACTGAAAACAGGAGGAACCGTTCAAAGTTACACGAACGTTCATGCATTGTCGCATTATAGCAAAATTCAAAATTAAAGAAATAACGATAACAGAACAACGAGACAAACAGAATAAATTAATTTTAAAGTTTATAATTTTAAGTTTAGAATAAGAGCCTAGACTTGTCACTAATAGACATCAATCGTTAATTAGCTTCTATACTTTATACTTGACTCTATCTAATATAAAATCCAAGTATCTCATCTCGTACAATCTATCATAACATAATATTAGTCAGTTAATATATACATAGTTTCAGCATAATATATAAAAATATAGTAAATCTTTATCGCATCTTTAAAAAAAAAAAATTATAAATATAGTTTGTTAGTTAACTTGTTACTTAGACTTTGAAAAATTCTATATAAAGTATGCAATAAATATTATGTTAATATATTTTTTACTAAGTTACCTTTACTAAATCGTTGCTTTCAACTTTTTCTTTTCTTGTTCACTCAACAAGCTGAATTTTATCGTTCTACGTAGTAGTTTTGTATTCTATATTTGCTTATTCTTTATATATACTTTTACTGAGTAAATTGTAATGTAAAAGTTGGTGGATTCAAGTGGATTTAACCGGTATTATTAAAATACGGCACAAAAACTTCAAGTTTTCTTAGCAGACTTATCTATGTTTCATTATGAAGATAAGCTACACAAGCCCCGTGAAAAAGTACTCTATAATGTATAAATTACGAATCAACAGCATCACGTGATTATAAGACATTGCCAATTTAATTAAGTCGTCAATCATTGGCTATCAATCTATTTTTAGAACACGAACGTTAAAAAATTGGTTTACCTTCAAGTTGAAATTTCTCGATAAACTATATTATATTAACGTAGTGTAAAAAGTGAAATAAATATAGATAGAAACCAGCACTTTAATTTGAATTAGTGATTGTACCCGTATAAGAGTTACTCGGGTAACCCGTGTATACTTGTTGGCAAAACCCGGACAAATCTCAAACCCCAAAAATATAATTGCTATTTATAAAAAATTGAATCAAAGAAATAATCTTAAATTTTACAAATATATTATATATAACTATAAATATATATCTAATTTGTTTAAATGAAAATTATTAATAAAGTTTTTAAGATATGAGTTTGGCCAGAGTTTGGGATTTTGGCGCGCCCAAACCCAAACTATAATAGTTTGGGATTTTGCCAACATGTATAAACCTGTCTAAGATCCGAATATTTATTCATAAAATGCGATGTAATGTTACAAAACTATACTTACCAAGTGATAACTAGCATTTAACTCTCTATTATAATGTCGATATTTTTTGATTCTTTTGTATTGTAAATATTAGCATTCATATACTGCATCTACAACAATTTTTCCAACGTACTTTAAATCATACGTGATAAGATGAGTATTAAGTTTGAATATTTTTTTTATTTCATTTAACAAACATGATTGGTATTATTTTACTAATAATAACACATACATAAAATATGCAATTTATTCTTCCGAAAAAACTTTACTTAAGATGTAAATATCGATTAACTTGATAAAATTTTGGGTTTTATATGTAGCTATGATTATCGATTATATTTTATAAATTTAATGTTTGTCTAAAAATCAATTTTGATTGGCCAATAGACATTATATTATCAATTTACATAAGTTAAATAACCTTCTAAAGTCATTTAAGTTTTGAAATGACCAATAACTGATCATTTTTTGAGTTATTTAAAGTTATTTACCATCTCTGTTAAAGACAGATATTAAATACTGTTACATTTTTATAAATTTTTGTTTTAAGCATGTTTTTCTAGTATAATTTTTATTAGCTAATCACAATATTTCGCTATGTAAAAGAAAATAATAGAAAAGATATTAGTGTTAGAATATTTTCTTACTACGTAAGTGTAACCAGGTCAACTGGGTCACTCAAGTTACTCGGATCATTTTAAATAACCCAGTTTGTGACCCAGTCTTCATTTAGTAAACAGGTGAGTAACTCGGAGCTAAAATTTTTGCAAGATACAATCTCTAATTTGAATCAAACAGCTCAAAAATTTTTAAAAAAACATCAGAGAGGAGTTTTCCTAACCTTTTTTTTAAAAACCGTTATACGTGAAGCATTTATTCATTACTACTTTAATTCAAAATTTTATTTTTTTTTACATAAATAAACATTGTGAAATAATCATTCCAATTTAGATAAATTATTTACTTATTCAACTGAGCTAATTCAGAATTCCGTTTATTTTATGTAAATAATAAATAATAATCGGTTAGGAAATTTTGAATTAATGAACTTCATATTATGTCAATGCCATTAATGTTATGAAATACAAATACTCGTAATTGCATTACAAATAATAAACAATTAACAATATACAAGCAGCTCAAGTGCAGTAGCCAATAAAAGTAACACCCGATAGATTTTTAATAGTAAAACGTATAAAAAATTTAATATATAAAGAATATTTATCGTTATAACTATAACCGGCGGTGATCATCACCGGCGTGTAATTAGCCAATAAATTTCCAGGATCAGGTGTAACGTGCAAATTGTTTTTTTAAAAAAAATCCCAGGCCTCGCCCTAACCCTAAAGTAAATGAAATGAAATTTTTTATTGTTTTATCGTTATTGACTAATTATACAGCGATGATAATCACCGCCGGTTATTTAAAGTTAAATTCATATATAAAAGTCAATGTTTGTTTTATTTAAAAATTTTTTTTTGATATAATTAGAAATCAATATTTATAGTTTATAATATACGAGTTTCATTGAAGCAAACAAATTGAGATTGATTTTTTTTTAAATTACAAAGTTTACAATTCAAAATTTCATATGTAAAACATATAAAATTTGTAAATTTGACTTTAAAATTAAATATAAAATTAAAAAATATATATAATTATTAATACAACATTTACGGATTGGTAAGGTCTGTTGAAATTATAAAGTATTTTAAATATTTAATTAGTAATTATTTAATCAATTGTATTTTAATTTTAATTAGTAATTATTTAATCAATTGTATTTTAATTTTAATTAGTAATTATTTAATCAATTATAATTTAATTTTATTTATATTAAAATCGATTTTGGACCCTCATACTTGATCCTTAACATTGATCCCCGGATGGGATTTTTGCGTTTATCTGCTGTGCGTGAAACAAATGATTTTAAATGGAGTCAATATGAAATATTTTTACATTTATTAATTGCATACACATTAATATAGTAGATACAATGTAATAATTGCATAATTACAAAACGATATGATTGAGAATTTAAACTCAATTAACTTTCAAGTTTCCATAAAACCAACATTGAATGATGGCATACACTAACACGATTAACAGGAATGCAACTAATCCGATATCTAAATATGGGGTTATAATCAGACAAAAACGAGTCAACCATTTGTTTTGTTTTAAAGGTCCACTCAGAATATCACATTTACTAAGTTAATATGCTCCATTGACTACGTTTTTATTAGTCATGTATGTATTATAACTATAGAACAAAAAGATCTAGTTTTGGTCGACAGTACCAATACTACTAGCATCGATCCATTTTATATCATGATAAATTTTCTCTCCTCAGGTGCTAGACTTAAATTAGATTCGATATTCAATTTAATTTTAACGTCTTTTACAACATTGCTGTTTGGAGGATATGCATTAATATTACAAAACACAATTTTTAATTTTGCTGTGAATTTCACCTTTCACCTTTATGATGAAAATAATAAATCATTAACTTGGAAATTTCCACAGCAACCTATTATCTCTAATATAGATAGTTAATATGATGTATTACCAAATAATACTATGATAATAGTGCAAAATGAAACAACTACTGCCTGGGATCTTCTTTTGATTGATCTACCTCAACTTGGCCCGTTTATCGGTAAAAATTTCTAATAAAAATTTCTAATAAATTTAAATATATAAATTTAAAAAATGAACTTAAATAATTACTTCTATACCTATATCTTATAGATAGTGGTTATGGTAATTTGTATGTGAACTCGACAAATCCCAAAAAGACCAAAAATTTAGCATTAAATTCTATCACGATTTCCATCACGTATCAAGTGCCAGTTTGGTTCTCTAATGGCAACTTAGCAATCTATAAAATAATCTTCGACAAATCATTAATTCAAAAACTTGTGATGCTAGCCAATGCATTATCTCAGATACCGTAGTTAAATTGAAGTACTTTCTTGTACCTTTAATGATCCTGGTGGAAAATATTATATACAGATAGACAGCAATTTTGTAAAGAGAACTGAAAATAATGTTTCAATCTTGGGAATTAATCCAAATGTGTGGACTTTTCAAACAGGTTTTGTATTGTATATGTATAATTTAGGGCAGTTAATCTGTCCGTCTTGGTCCAAAGACCAACAGTCTTTTAAAAAGTCGGACCGGACTGCGGTCCAAAACCGAATAGGACTTATTAGTATTGGACTGGACGGACCGGCAACATAAAGTTAAATATATTGATGTCGATACAGCTACGAATGTAATATTTGTTCCGACTAACTTGCTAACTTTGGCTAGTGTAGTTAGTATCAGTGGATGAATTTTTTTTTTTTTTACAAATTTTTCCATCGGACTTGTCGGATAATTCCGGAAAAGTAATGCCTTAATCGGGTTATATCAGGGATGGTAAATGACTAGGGTGCGCTATATCATAATTGATCAAAACTATATAAGGTCAATCGATAAATTGATGGTAATAAATTTTCTGAAACTTGTAGATTAGTCGGAGTGTCAATTCATAGCAAAGATATATAAATTTCGCGTAAAATAATATATTTGATTTTTTTTGCTCAAATTTTTTATTAATATAAAAAGTTCTTCTGTAATTTTGTTCTTATCTCTACGATTATGATATGTAAAAAATTTGAGTGAAAAATAACGGGTTAGTGAACCTAAACATCTAATTTCGCGAAATCCTTAACCAATTCATTTTATTATTCGGATACTTAGAACGTCTGACCAATTGAATTCCGTATATTAGTGTAACATCAAAAAATCTGCACTTAGCGGATTTACAAATTTGTTAACATAGTTTTGATTAATTATGATATGGTGCACTCTAGTAAATGACCTAGCGCTAGTCATTTTGTTAAATGACCTAGGTCATTGGGTTATTTACATATGAAGTAATATTATTGGTCGAATAATTAATATAAAAAATTATGATTTTACTAATCGATGATCGTAGCTACATATAAAAGTCAAAAATATTACTAAGCTAATCGATATTTACATGTTAAGTAAAGTTATTCAGAAGAACAAATTGCATGTATTTTGAAAATTTATATAATTTTAATAACTTTTTATTAAATCATTTTTGTGTTTTGTGTTTATATAAACGTAAAACACAAATATGACTTAATTCAAATTAAATAAAATTTTCAAGATACATGCTATTTATTCTTCTGAACAACTTTACTTAATATATAAATATTCGATTAAGTTAGTAATATTTTGACTTTTATATGTAGCTACAATTATTAATCATATTTTATAAACATTATCTTTGTCTAATAATCAATTTCGATTGGCTAAATGCATTAGATTATCTGTTAACAAATGTTTAAATGACCTTCTATAGGTCATTTGAATTTGAAATAACCAAATGACTATCACTAATCATTTGGGTCATTTAGGTCATTTCAGGTCATTTACCATCCCTGGTTTATATCGGATAAAATATCACCAATTTATATTAGACCGATGGTCCTTTAAGTCCGTCCTAAAAAAAAAAAAAAAAAAAAAAAAAAAGACCGGCCGGTCCTTGGACGGACCTTCGGTCTGTCGGTTTTTACTAGTTAGTTCTCCAATATTTCTAGATATTTCATAAGTTAGATCTTTCTAAATTTAGTTAGCGGTTTGAGTCGGACCAATTAACAGCCTTATCCAAGACCACTGTTTTAAGACTAGTCCCTTTCAATTGTATCAATAATAATCTAATTAGATCAATTAACGTTAATTATAATTCCACAATTTAATACTTCGTTAGAAAGTTTATTTGATCCTTATTAATAATTATTAAACCATGAGCGGGTCAATGAAACAAATGCTCCATTCAATATAGCCCTGAAACAAATAACTCCCAAAACACTTTGAAGCAATGTATCGAGATATTGGTGCTGTCCATTGGACGGTTGAAGCTTATGTTGACTGGGGCGAGTATTCTCAATATTCGGACTGGCAAAGTGTTATTCCAATTGACCTTTTATCACTTGGTATTGTCATGGCTGCTGTAATGATCGTTGATGTTGGATTAGATGCTGAGTATCATTATAAACTGACAATTTGAGGTGGACTTGAATATACACTTATTGACAGAAAAAAAGTTCTTCAACTAGATGGATGAAAGCTTTTTGAGATTGTAAAAGTTTGATATTGATATTATTTTTTCTAAGAATTTAGATTAAATTTGTTGTACTTTTATTATTGTGCTTCATTTATTAATCGTACTAAAGGTTTTTTGCACGTATATATTTTGTAAGTATAACCTTACTATAACACAGCTCTTCTAGTTATTTTACAAAATTTATCCTTTTACTAAATGCATTACGTTTATTATTATTTACATAGATGTTGGATTCGAATTAAATTCAAATAATTCAAATTTGAGATTTGAAATGTGGAAATTTGAACCTTATATTCAAATTTGATATTTAAAACTAACACTAATGTTTTAATTAAAAATGAAAGATCAAAAAAATTTGAAATTAAAGTCATAATCGAATTTATATTAAGTCGAATGTATAATATTAAAAGAGAATGAATATGCGAATATTCAAATAAACTGAATGATTCTAAATTTATAAAATTTAAAACCCGAATATTGGATTTTGCAAATAATATTCAGATCCATCATTTTGTTATAAGATTTTCTCATTTATTTTCTTACATTTCCTGAGAATCCCAACCATCATGAGCGGATTTTACTTTCTTAAATCTCTGCTCTTCGAAATATATCAATATATTTATATTTTTATATAATAGAGATGATTCAATATAGTTTTTTTTTTTAAAAAAAAATAATTATTAATTAACAAAATAATATAAACAATCTTTTTTAAGATACTATTTTTAATGTACTAATAAAAAAGTTACTTGCAAATTTTACACCCCTTGGGGCTATAATAAAAAAAAAAAAAGGCAAATTGTGTGTGCATTTATAGAGAGAGCAAAATATGTATGCGTCATTTTTCAATTTACGTCGATTGTTGATTGACGCATGTCATTTTTCAATTGAAAAATAACATACGTCGTTTTTCAATCGGTATGAATTTTGAAAAAATTGCCAGAAAAATTTATTTCTATTAAATATTTAAATTCTAATTTAACTACATTTTGACCGAACATATTCAAATTAATGTAATATTTTAATATTTTAATAATAAAACTAACAATTTTTGCATTGTCCATGTAAAACACATCTACAGCGTCTTGAGCATAACGAATTATTTTTTCTGCAAGAGCATGATTTCGTGTTGCAATTCGTTTTTCGGCAATGGCAACAGTCTGGACGAGGTCTTTGGCTTAAACCAATATTTCCATTATTTATATCATTACTTCAATTAAAATTTATATTAGCGTTAGTAAAATTTTTAAATGTATGAGTTGAGCGTTCTTAGATTGAGCATTCTTGAGTTGGTTTGGGTGCTCTTAAGTTGTATCCCCTATCAGAAATTCAAGTCATAGCAATAATATCTATTTAATAACATATATATTAATATTAATTTTTTTTTTTTTTTTATGTTATAATGTTACAAATTATTCACTTGCCTATATATAATTCAGAAATAATTGGACGCATCAATGTGATGCTTTTTGGCACTCTCCGAGTAACGCATACCTTACATTCATTGACAGCGTCTTCGACTAACGGATCTATTTATTATTAAATGTATATTATTTATAACTTTTTTTCTTTTTTTTTTTTTAAGTTATACCTTTTGTCAGGTCTTCCTGATGAGCACCACAAATAACTTTGCAGAAATTTTCAACTATGCACTCTTGGGTTCCCATATTATTTCTGCCTTGCTTGTATGTGAAGTTCTATAGTGCCAACGCGATGAACTTTAAAAGTATTAATCGCTTAATGTTTAAACGTTGGGTTACACTGAGTATTTTTTTTGTAGTTTAGACATTCAAGCTTCGTTTATTTTGTTTTATTTTATTTTTTTTTGATTTGTATAAGTCTCACGGGTAGAAAAGAACAACTTTGTGGATTCATTATCAACGAAGAAAAAAATGAAGTACAATTATTAACGAAGAAAAAAAATGAAGTATAATTAACGAAGAAAAAATGAAGTATAATTAACGAAGAAAAAATGAAGTATAATAAAGAACTTCATAAAAAAACAATTTATTTATTCACCATCATTCGTATCAATATACGTAATACGTAATAAGTTCTGTCTGTCGCATCCGGAAAATGTGTACCAGGTTGGTGCGCCATAGCTGAATAATATTGGATTTTTCAGAGACCCTTGCCGGAATGATTTTAAATGTTTTTAATTATATTGTCATTTTATCATAAAAATGCAGCGAGTACAGAGATATAAATTAATTTATTATAGGTTAGATTATGTGAAACTTAAATTTTTCACTTGTTACGTACTGTACATAAATAAATATAACAGATAATATTATCTAGTCTTCAAAAAAAAAAAACATTTATATTCATAGATCCGAATCATTATGATAAAATTTGTAATTTTTTCTGTTTCAATAAAATTTTGAATTCAAACAAGATCTGAATGAAATCCAAAAAGTAAATAAAATTTTTATCAAATTAAATGATTTTATTATAAGCATTAAAAGCTAATAATGAATTCGAAGTTTCATTATTTTAACTAATTACGTAAAATAAATAATCTTTTTCTTCTAGTGAGTGAGTATAAAGATCATTAATCTACGTATTTAAATCTGCAATTCATGTTTATAAATATTTATCTATTAAATAATCTTTTTATTCGTATTAATTTAGTCGGTAAGCATAAAGATTACTTGCGTTAGAGCTTAAAAATCGCATAAACAACTAATCATTTAAAAATTTGAAGTGATTCTAAATATGGAAAATGTGAATATTGTAATGAAAATAACACGTATAATGCATGGTGTAATACATGTGATCCCGACAATACAATTAAAGGATGGACAAGTAGAAATAAGGATATTGATAACTGTCTAAAATACTTTCAACTTAGAACTAATTCGTATGAGAAAGTAATTGAATGGATTCCTTTTGATAAACTAAATAATATTGAAAATATTGGTAGGGGAGGATTTGGTTCTATATTTTCAGCATTCTGGTTGGATGGTATACGAAAAACTGATGGTTATAGAAGAGT